AAGCAGTCTCCAGCAATGGCTAGCCACATGCCTTTGAAGAAAGCATGGCATAATAAAAGTGGACATCATTTTAATTACCATGGCTAATAGCTATTGACAGACCTATTCTTTGTGACTTTACATAATTCCTTTAAAACTATTAAAGCAATTGCCTATCACTATATCTTAGACATATAGCAATGAGTTCCATGTGAATCATTTGCTAGTGAAGAACTGAACTGAACTCACAATCAGTCAGTTCAACTGGATCATCCTGCATCCTGCAAAAAAAAAAGAAAAAGAAAGGAGACCTTAGTCTTCAGTCATTGATGAGAAGCTTGCTTAGTAAAAAAAAAAGATACAAATAGCATCTTCAGTCTATCCAAATTAGCCTGATGGTTCTTTTGATACTTGCAACTAGAAGACAGATATTTCTCTATCACTATTCTAGTGAATAGAGCTTGCTAAGTGATAGTAAAGAAAAGATACAAGATAGCATCTTCAGTCTATCCAAATTAGCCGGATGGTTCTTTTGATACTTGCAACTAGAAGATAGATATTTCTCTATCACTATTCTATTTCAACAGGCCCTTGAGTTATTTCTACCATTCTCCCCTTTAATGGATAGTAGGGTGAAAAGAAACCTCACAGCACAGAGAGGATATTGGAAATTGGTACAAAAAGATCATTAGTGTACTTTTGAGGATATGGTAATTAGACATATTTTATAATATATTTCATTGCTTTGTGAATTGAGGAAGATCATGTATATGGAGTACAGTTTGTACAGTCCTGTCTTGGTGAACTAAAATGCTTTTCCATGTGGTTAAATTGTGCAGGCATGCTGCTTGGGTTCTTCAAGACTCTGCTACTGAATTTCCTGAAGCAAGCCAGTTGGGAAAGAGAGAGAGGGGGAGAGATTATCTTTTATCTTTTATAATTAGCAAATCTGATCTGTGGGTGTGATTAATTTGCTGCATTCATTAATGGCATAGATGTCTTTCGAAGAGGTCAAAGAAGTATAGGCATGGAAATTATACTGTATCAACAGGAGCAATACTGCTGCATTGCAAATCAAGCATCTTGAACAGCTAGCAAAAACCATTGATCGATGTGTGTGGCATCAGACAATAAATCTTCATTCAACAAGGGACGTTAGTAGCTAAACAACACAAATACTGTTTGGCAAAAGGGACTGTAAAGCAAATGAATAAAAAACAAAAGGACCTTTCTGTCAGACAATCCAAAGAACATTTTGTTTTCATTCTGTTACTGCTCGCCCCCTTTTTTTCTTTGTCAGGAGGGGAGTCACATGTTCGTGTGTTTTTAGACATTCTCAGGCTTCAGTTTTGTGAGCAGGATGGGGGGGGGGTGCAGCTTCTGAAGGAAGTTAAGATGTTTTTCGGATGTTGATCTTATATTTTGAAAATAACACAAGGTCATTCCAATAATTTTAGGAACCGGATTATCTCACTCATCCAAGTAAATTGACTGAAAAGGCCTTAGAATGTTACTACAGAAACACTGTAGAGAATACTGGACAAATATTTTAGTATTCTGATAGTTAAGTGTGCATAGGGTAGTATCAGTGTCAAACTAGGATTGTTGCAAGGTTGCAAAGACCCATGTTCCAATCCTTACCCAGCCATGAACTTTACTAGGTAACTATGTTGGTCACCATCTCTTACAGCAGTGTTTCTCCGTCTCAGTCACTTTAAGATGGGTGGGCTTCAACTCCCAGAATTCCCCAGGCAGGGGAGCTGAAGCCCACACATCTTAAAGTTACTGAGGTAGAAAACACTGTCTTATGGTATTTTCACATAAACCTGAATGACAGTGCAGTATTGATTGGTTCTGAGAGCTGTGGTTTTTTTTTTCTTCCAGCTGTATTACAGTTTATCTGAAACCA